GGAGTATAAATCCAGAATTATACCGTCTTGCACTGCACAGGGATCTGTACAATGCAAACTCATTTATATAAGTCAGCTTCCCCTTGATGTGGGATAGATATGCAACAGCCTTTGTTTACAGAGCTGACATTTTGGATCCCCAAAAGAAATTGGAGGCTTTTCATCCACCTCTCCCTTGTAAAACAAAGGTTGCACTGATTGAGTCTATGGCTGAACTTTGGGAATGGAAAGGTCGAAAACTCCCGACCAGTCTATGGCTTGGCCAATGTCTCCATCAGTTACTCTAACCAGCCTTCCCATCTCTGTGCAGCCCCCTCCACCCTGTACAATGCCCCTTCAGCAGATCCTGCGGGCAGTGGCTACTGTGACAGGCCCAGGTAGAACATTTCTGACAAACCTGTGCTAGCAGTGAGCTAGAGCAGTTGCAGAGGCACAAAGATTGTGGGTGGGCCGAGCTACCAGTGGCTCATTGAGATCTGTGCATAATTAGGGGGATCCAGGGGCACTGGGTCCCCTTTTTATTCATCCAGGAGAAGGAAAGGAACCTCTGGTACTGGAATGATCTGAGGCAAATTCCCCTGTACGGAGCCTTGTGGAATCTCCCTTCCCCGGCCAGAACCCTGGGTTTACAGTGCAGGGAAAGGGGCTGCTGGGGAGAAATCAGGTCCTATATTATTATCATTATTATTTATTATTTATTTTATTTCAGCAAGATCACAGCTGTGACAGTGTCATTTTTTCCACTTGGCTGCACCCAAGGCAGCCATGTGATTAATATGTCATCATATGAACAGTGATGACAAGCCTGGATTCTATGAATAGAGCCTGCAGCAGGGCTGGTGCTGCAGTAAGATTGGCTAGAATCACCATGCTTCCCCTGTGATTTGGCCGCCTGCAGTTTGCCATTGGCTGTGACAGCAATTAGAGCTGGTGCACACTAAGTCAAGCAGCTGAGGTTCCCTGGTGGCTGAGAGGACCCCAAGGGAATGTGCAGGCATGCTTCATAAATACAGTTGCCTCCCTAACTGAACAGATACTGCCTGCTGCCCATGCAACCTCTCCGATGACTCCTTGTGCTTTAGGTTGAAGACCTCTGGTGTCTTCGGCTCCCCTTCTAGCAGGAATTGGGTATGTTGGCAGGTTTCACTGTCTTTAACATGTGAAGTGAAGGGGACAGGCTGCAAACTGTTTCCATTTGCAGATGTTTTGTGCAGTGGCAGAGGACTCAGCTGGGCGGTTGGGGTGACTCAGTGATGGGGCTGAAGGGCAGGCAGCACTAGGTAGCTTCAGAACTCCTCCGCTACATCTGCCCATGCTCCACGCTGGGTTATTCAAGCTACCCAAAAATCTCACATTGAAAGCAACTTTGAAACATTACAACTCTGATGCCCCTAGTCAAGATTTCTCAAGGGCTCCCATTTCTAGAGGTGCCGCGTGCTCTGGGCCCGATCCTGCCAGGGGCTGAGCAAGAGGAAACCACAGGGAATGTCAGTGACTAGTTCCCAAATTGCCTCAGATTTATTTGCTCCTGGAAATTTAATCAGCAAATGTATTTCTAGTGATTTTATTCTCCAGCTTAATTGTGAATGCAGGAGTTCAGAGCTGCGTTGCTCTGTCTTAACAAATTTGATGAGACAAATTTCTGTTTCCTGACTGGCTGAGGGCTCCAGCACGTCTACCTTGTAGATACCCCTCACAGTTATGGGTCTACCGGCATCTCTGCCCCCTCTCTGGTCTCCAAGTGCCAGATGTCAGGCCCTGTACCCTGCCCTCTCATGGCTCATTGAGATCTGTGCATAACTATAGGGATCCAGGGACACTGGGTCCCCTTTTTATTCCTCCAGGCAGCTGAGGTTCCCTCATGGCTGAGTAGACCCCAGGGGAATGTGCAGGCATGCTTCATAAAGACAGTTGCCTCCCTAACTGAACAGATACTGCCTGCTGCCCGTATCACCTCTCTGATGACTCCTTGTCCTTTAGGGTGAAGATCTCTGGTGTCAGCGGCTCCCCTTCTAGCAGGAATTGGGTACGTTGGCAGGTTTCACTATGTTTAAAATGTAAAGTCAAGGGGAAACGTTGTGTTGTTCCCGGATGCTATGGAGAGAGAGGAAGTTCCATTTCCATGAATACTCATGTATTTGACTTTGAAATCCACTTCCTGCAAACCCTCATCATGCCTGAATAACAGGTTCTGGGGTTACTATGTACTACAGAGTGAGAGCTCAGGGAATGAATATTTTCTATACTGACTCTAATGCCTGTTACCACTCCGGATACAGGATGCAGTTTGACAGAACAGAACCTGAGGGGAACCAGTCAGCTATTAACTCAGGGAAAGAGGAGCTACTAGACTTTTGTTTGCCAAAAAGCAATTGCATGAGGGCTGAGACAAATATACAAATATTACAAACCAAATTTTCATGACGTATATCAAAAGCCAGCAGCAGAGTTGGAATCTCTATAGGAAGGAGCAGTGGTAACTTTACTGCGTAATGGTTTTGGCTTTAGAAAGTATGTCAAAAGTACTCCTCATACTGTTTGCAATGGGTTTCTGCTATTAACTCTTTGTACAGTGAACCGTTGTATGATACTGTCTCCTGGTAACTGACCAGAAGCTGTTTCTAACACTTACATTCAGGGTCATTAACACAAACCTTCAGCAATACATGCAAAAGACTTTCCAAAAGGTCATGAGAGAACGGAACCGCTGGTCTGTGTTTCAGCAGAGTAGAGCTCAGGTGCAGGAAATGGGAGGGAAATAGTGGTTTATGTAATTTACGCCAATCATCATGAGCATGCTGAAGTAACTTGCACACACACCTGGACATTAGTGCAACACCAGTGTTTGAAGTATTCACCCATTTCTGATGCCAAGACCTCCCCCACCCAGCTAAAGTAACTGTCTGTGTTAGCTGGTAATTTGCCTGATATCTACAGACGCTTGCATGGGGGAAAAGTTACAGGTCCTGGGAGGATGGAGAGAAGCCTGTAGGATGATTGAACTCTCTGGATTCCATCAACACTGGCTAGTTAAAACACTTCAGCTTCTCTTGGAGGAATTCTTGGGGGTCAGAGTGTATCACTGGGGGCATTTGGTAAAGGAAAGATAATGGAGCCTTTTTCTGATTGAATTTATACATGTGAATCTGGAGTTACAGTGTTGAAGTCAATGTTATTGAATTAAGCACCTGGCCCTAAGAATTTATCCCAAAAAACTGCAAAGGGGCAAGTGGCATCATTTAAACACTCAGGAGTGGAGAAAATAAAAATATGTTTAATGAAACAATGAAACACATTTATAAATAGCTTGAATGCAGGACACACAAATACCATTTTCACCATGCACTTGCCATGCGTTTACCCACATGCCGCCAAGTTAAAGAAGTATGGGCTGGATGAATGGACTGTAAGGTGGATAGAAAGCTGGCTAGATCGTCGGGCTCAACAGGTACTGATCAATGGCCTCATGTCTAGTTGGCAGCCGGTTTCAAGCGGAGTGCCCCAAGGGTCGGTCCTGGGGCCGGTTTTGTTTAATATCTTTATTAATGATCTGGAGGATGGTGTGGACTGCAATCTCAGCAAGTTTGCAGATGATACTAAACTGGGAGGCGTGGTAGATACACTGGAGGGTAGGGATCGGATACAGAGGGACCTAGACAAATTAGAGGATTGGGCCAAAAAAAACCTGATGAGGTTCAACAAGAACAAGTGCAGAGTCCTGCACTTAGGACGGAAGAATCCTATGTACTGCTACAGACTAGGGACCGAATGGCTAGGTAGCAGTTCTGCAGAAAAGGACCTAGGGGTCACAGTGGACGAGAAGCTGGATTTGAGTCAACAGTGTGCTCTTGTTGCCAAGAAGGCTAACGGCATTTTGGGCTGTATAAATAGGGGCATTGCCAGCAGATCGAGGAACGTGATCGTTCCCCTTTATTCGACATTGGTGAGGCCTCATCTGGAGTACTGGAGTTTTGGACCCCACACTACAAGAAGGATGTGGAAAAATTGGAAAGAGTCCAGCGGAGGGCAACAAAAATGATTAGGGGTCTGGAGCACATGACTTATGAGGAGAGGCTGAGGGAACTGGGATTGTTTAGTCTCCAGAAGAGAAGAATGAGGGGGGATTTGATAGCTGCTTTCAACTACCTGAGGGGGGGGGTTCCAAAGAGGATGGAGCTCGGCTGTTCTCAGTGGTGGCAGATGACAGAACAAGGAGCAATGGTCTCAAGTTGCAGTGGGGGAGGTCTAGGTTGGATATTAGGAAACACTATTTCACTAGGAGGGTGGTGAAGCACTGGAATGCATTACCTAGGGAGGTGGTGGAGTCTCCTTCCTTGGAGGTTTTTAAGGCCCGGCTTGACAAAGCCCTGGCTGGGATGATTTAGTTGGGAATTGGTCCTGCTTTGAGGAGGGGGTTGGACTAGATGACCTCCTGAGGTCCCTTCCAACCCTGATATTCTATGATTCTATGATTCTATGTTGTGATACAAAGGGCCACACTTAGAAAGTGGAAGGCCAGAAATCGAGTCTGTCTGAAGGTCAGTTTGTAAAATCAAACAGTACTCAAGTAGTCTGTGGAACTCACAGTCAAATCTAATTACAGCAGCGAGGATTTTTTTAAAATCAGTCTTGGAAGGGCTCTAAACCTTCCTGACTTACACCACAAATAATGTCTAAATATTGGGTCTCGGGGGGGGGGGGGGGGAACTTTCCCTGGGAGCAGGTTATCTCATAGCTCCCAATTGCAGGGCTTCTTCTACCTTCATCTGAAGCATCTGGAACTGGCCACTGGATACTGGGCTAGATGAACGACAGGTCTGATCCCATCTGCAAAGGCCTATTTTCCTAGCGATGCTGTTCTTGCTGATATTTTTTGAGCTCCTGCAAGTTGCTAGACCTGCACAGAAAGCAGAAATATGTCTCATTAAACATCACGTAGTCTCTTTTTTTTTCCTTTCAGGAAGGAAAGTTGAAAACTCCTTGGACTTGTCCAGCACATTATGTCTGCTGTCAATGACACCAAATTAAATTCTGCTGTGTTCCTTCTCACCGGGATACCTGGGCAGGAAGACGTCCATCTCTGTATCTCTATCCCCTTCTGCTTAGTGTATATTATTTCAATATTAGGAAATTCAGTCATTCTGTTCATTATAAAAACAGATCCAAGCCTCCATGAGCCCATGTACATTTTCCTTTCCATGTTGGCCATCACAGACCTTGGCATATCAATAGCCACCGTACCCACGATATTGGGCATATACTTGTTTAACTCTAGGGAGATCAGCCTCGATGCCTGTTTAGCGCAGCTGTTCTTCATCCCCTTGTTTCAATGCACTGAATCCTCCATCCTCTTGTTGATGGCCTTTGACCGCTTCATTGCGATCCATAACCCGCTGAGATATGCTTCCATCTTAACCCTGCCAAGAATAGCCAAGATGGGACTGGTGGCTGTGCTAAGAGCGATGGTCATAATACTTCCACTTCCCTTTCTCCTGAAGCGGTTCCAATACTGTCGAGCCAATGTCCTCTCCCATTCCTACTGTGTGCACCG